GAAAATACTGTATTTAATGTAATGTTACAATGTACCCAATAACAACTTGAAATACATAAACTATAAACATCAGGTTCACATTCCAGTTTGTCACTTAGAAGCTCATCTACTTTCAGCTCTCAGTTTATAAAAATGTTAGCGCAACCTATGTATGTAATGTACAATAATGAGGGTCATCTCCTTCTAGTGACCGTTCTGCACACTACTTAGTTTAATGTTATCTGCGTACACTAGAAACCCCCAGAAACCTGTGAGGAGGGGCCCCAAGGTTTTGACTACCTAAGGGCCCCCACAGAGTTTAATCCGGCACTGCTTATAGCAGAGGTGTCCAAACTATGGCCCTCCAGGTGTTGAGGAACTGCAAGTCCCATAAGGCCTTGCAAGACTCTGACATCCACAGGCATGACACCCAAAGGCAGAGGCATGGTGAGACTTGTAGTACTTCAACAGCTGGAGGGCCATAGTTTGGACCCCCGTGGCCTATAGCAATCAAAATTAAACTCTCATAGGGCCAGCTTCAGTAACCTAAAATGTATTTGCTTCTTTTTACACATTATCACTAACCTTTGTCCTGCCTGTTTGAGTTTCACACAGGGCTTTGTTAAACAAAAGTACCATGGCCTTGACCATCTTTGGCTCAGTGATTAGTTATGAATGAACTGTCTAATTTTGCTACTGCCTAACCATTATTTCAATTCAACATGGCAATTGCTGATAAAAGTACAATAATCCATGTCAATCAAGTAGAGCATCGCTCGAAACGTGTCAGGCCAACAGTAGCTGGACATCTAGCCACCGCTGGTGACCATCCTGAATTTTATATGGTCAGTGTTTTTTTTCCTATGCGTTTTTGCACACGTTCATACCTACCTGTTTGCACCTATTTGTGAATAAATTATCTTTGCGGTATCACGCTATGGTGTGCCCCTTATTGGGCTCTCTTTATTGAGAGCCCTCATCTGCAGAACCTGCACTTTAAAGGAACCTTTGAATGTGTTTCACATCTGAGTACTACACCTGAGACGTGACCAGGATACACACAGGATCGTGACCCTTACATGAATACTGATGACCTCGCACACACTTGGTGAGACAGGCAAATCTCAAAGGAGTATTTTTACGCACTTCTGGTGAGTGCACAATTTACTCATTTATTTAATTTACCACTTTGGATCAAGTCCTCCATGCACCAATTTTAGGATCATATTGGATCATCATGTGGGCTTTTCATACATTGGGACATTGATTTCATTTATTATTAGTCCCCATTAGTGACATGTGACTTTGCTATATCCATTGATTCATCTGGTACTTGATTTTCAGCGCTGCACTTATTTTGTTTTATGTCATTTTGAAGGTGTTGTTTGGTTACCTTTTAGTGTTCTAGGCGCTACATCCTACCCTTATTTCTGATAGCGCTCCTATTACTGCTTTTTTACCTAAGTAGAGCATATCTGTCATTGATCTGGCATCGTGAAAACTAAAATAGAATTATTTGAATAGATTACTGCAATCATACAATAGCTTTCACTCTACGGTAATCTTAAAACCTTTTACCTTAGGGAGGTTATATCCACGGAGGGTGACATTGTCCACGGCTGACCTGATACATCCCAAAGGTAATACATCACTAATTCTTTGAACCTCATGTATAATGGCATTCATATATGGCATCTGGTTCCTATCTTCCACCCTTGGGTCTCGTGTTCGACCGATGACCAGATCAATCTCCTCATGAAGTTTATCTATGGTCAAGAGATAAATATCAAGAACTAGGATGATGGGTGGCTGAAATCCCAGACTTCACCAAGCTCAAATGCACTGAGGATAAGCATAAGATGCACTCTGGGAGAAAGTGCTAAAATTAAGCGATCCCCAGTCATAGTGGTACACTGGAAAAACTTGTTTGATACATAGACGGCACTGATTACCTTGTATCTCTGGATACTTTATAAAATACAAGACTCCAAAACTTGTTGTAACCGATGTGGTCTCTGCTCCTCCCAGGAACATGTCGAACACTGTGGCCAGCAAGTGCTTGTAATGAAAACATGAATTGGAATCCAGTTTTTTCCTATGGTTAAAACCAGATGTAGAGATTGCAAAAATTAAATAAGCTTGAATATAAAATCAACACAAATACAGTAGAGTGGGACACTGATCTGGTATCAGAGAAGGAGACATACGGTAGTTTTGACATAATTTCTTTCAACTATCCTATAAGGGCATTTTAAAGGTATCTCAGATTGAAGTGAACATAAAAGTCCTCACCAGTTGGTATCTGGTCCCAAATCTCCTCTCGAAACTCTATCCTAAATCCACACCCCTTTGTTTCAGGGGATGTCATCTCCAAGGCACTATGTACCACATATGGTGGGAATGCTCTAGAATTAGGGAATTCTGGAATAGAGTCTTCAACTTACTGAGAAGGGTTATTGGAGTCTCAATACCATAGTCCCTATGTATTGTTCTTTTGAAGGAGCCACGCGCAACTCAAAGATGAATATTTTTTATTCTCTTGGCAGCTAAATTAACTATAGCTTGATTGTAGAAAAAGATTTCAGCTTCCATATCTCTGATTATGCAGAAAGTATCTGGATTATGACGCACAAAAAACTTGCTAAAATCCTCAATGATGCCGACAAGCACTTTGAAAAAATTTGGAGCCCATAGGATCACTGTATGCGTATTGATCTCTAACTCTTTTACGTGATTCATCTGGTGGACGCTACAGTCCCTGGGATTCTTCATTCTTCTTTCTAATTCTTTCTCTCCTTCTCCCCCCCCCTCTTTTTTCTGAGTCTCTCTGTTACTTCTTTTTTCTTTTCTTCCCTAATTTTAATGGTCTATAATTTGTTGATTGTGACACTGTTTTCTGCTGAAAGACACATACTTTATAATGACAACTACAATATCCTATGTGAAGTAAGTAGGATTCCACAGATTAAAGTGACTAATTTTCTGAGTCACTTTAGCTATCAATGTTGTTTCAGCATTGGATTATTGGTATACTGATATTGATCCTGCTTATAGGCAAGTGCAGTCTGCATTCTCCACTGTAAGTAGCGCTCAATCTGAGTGTCGCCGCAGCTGGAGAGGGTTCCTGGGTCAATGAAGTAGTGTTCCCATTGGCTACACTGTTGGCTACCCTACCGCTAAGTGCCTTCCCTACTAAGTGTGGTCTCTCTCCCTATGCAAAAAGCACATAACTATGTGACCCTAGGTGGACATCCTGGGGCAGCAGGGTCTATATTAGTCCCTGCTCCCAGGTTTTGGTGTGCTTTTTGTGTAGGGAGAGAGACCACACTTAGTAGGGAAGGCACTTAGCGGTAGGGTAAGGTTCCAGATGAGAGGTGACAAGCTAGGGACTCACTAACCTGAAACGTGGCCTCCCTGCTTAGGACTGGACCAGTCAGACTGCATTTTCCACCTTTGAGACAGACACTGTCGGCATCTCTCCTTTTACCACATCTTGAACTGCACCGAACTGTAAGGTATTTGCCTAATTGGCACTTAACCGCTAGGATGTTTGTAACATTGGCATTCTGGTTAATATAAGTTTCAAGTTTATTGCAACTCGACTCTGTATGTTCTCTGTTGCCATACCACGATGCACCTCCCCACATGCTTGTCACAATCATTTTTCTACCGAATTTCTCTACTGGATTGTAATCTTAAACCTTAGTAAAAAATATTGAAAGTAAAATCAACACAAACAGTACAAACTAAAAAAGAGATAAGTGTGCCAAAATATAGAGCAAAGCAATCTTTAACCTCTTGACACCGGTCATATGCATATATGCGGCCACTTAGTGGGTGGGCCTGAAAGCAGAGCAGCTGCATATATGTGGCACTGTTAAAACAACTTACCGTGCTGAGAGCTGCCAGCATGGTAGAAGGTGGTGATTGGTAAGCTCCCGAAACGAACTTGCGATCGAGAGCTTTACAATGATGTGAAAGCCAATCACAGCGATCACATAACCCTAATGCCCACCTCTGCCTCCCAGTTTTTACAACTCTTAATGGGCTAGGAGGCGGCCGGCGCAAAGGGGTTAAGCTTGCACAGTACGGATGCTTTTTTTAATAGAGGTTTAGTGTTTGAAGAAGAATTCCAGGTACGGATGTTTTCACATAGTGACACTGGTCAGTGGAAATCACTGAAGTAGACACCACTACTCCAGTGATCTCCATTAGATTTTGGTTCCCGTGCCAAGCAACTTCTCTGCTGCATTGTGAATGCAGGAGGTTGGCCGTTTGCCATGGACGGCTTTCAGTGATCTCTTTGCAATTTCTTAACAAAATGTGATTGGACGAGGGGGGGAGACAGGGAGGTGAAGTTGCACTTTCCATCTTCTCCAGTTATCGAATCCTTTTGCATTGGTGCCAGTGTCAAGAGGCTGACCACATTGTAGCAAGGAAGCCTTTCGGGCATGGTCAGTAGGGTGCCCTGGTTTTAATTTTGAAAATCTAATCATCTCACAGTACAGCACAATTGCATGTTACTGCTCCTCCTCAGAAGTTTACAAATTACCTATTTCCAAAAATTGCATTTTGTGTGCCTAACATTTTACAGTAACTCAGTCATAGTTGGGGGTGACACAGTATTTGCCCTGGGCCACTGAGAGCTCCCTCTAAAGACTAATCTACAAATCTCTAAATGGAATTCAGCCGCAACATTTTCAGTGCAAGCACAGTAAATGTACTCAGAAATTATTACAACAACCCCTTTTAGTAAATGTGAAAATCAGCGACACATGCAGAATTGCTTTACAATGAAGGTAGAATAAAAAAGAATAGATATTTGAGCAGGCCTAGTTTAAGACAGTTATAAAGTAGCCCAGAAATAAATGTAAAAATTAGACCTAAAATCCAAATGATGATCCTCCTTTGGTTTTTCTCAAATATTTGGTGACTACAGAAAGGTCTGATCCTTTCTTTTCTAAGGGTTCAAAGTAAGCACATTGTATGGACTACCAAGTGAATAAAAAATTATTGTTTACTTGCTCCATCCTGATGAGGAAACAGTCAATGTAATCTCGGGGGCAGGCTGGGTCCAGAGTGTCTTTATGGTTTTTGATGCTCTCCCTTACCATTTCTTTTAGATCTTGTAAAAGTACAAACATTCTTTGGTGTGGTCCAGGTATATATTGCATGATACTGGGGTACATGTCATACAACTGTGGAATACAGAACAGAAATATATTACAGCAAGCAAGATAGATAATGGTTCAAAACTCAGAAAGGGGCTAACATGGTATGGTGGGGATCACACTGAAATAATTTGTATATAGTGTAGACTTATTCTACAGTATAAAAAACAGCCTTTCTCAATTATTTAACATGGAGGAACTCTTAACCACTTGAGCTCCTGAGGATTTACCCCCCTTAATGACCAGGCCTTTTTTTGCTGTTTGGCGCTGCACTAATTCAAATGATAATTGCGCAGTCATGCAATGCTGTACCCAAACAAAATTTACGTCCTTTTTTTCACACAAATAGAGCTTTCTTTTGATGGTATTTTATCATCTGTGCGCTTTTTATTTTTTGCGCTATAAACAAAAAAAAAACACAAAAATTTTGAAAAAAACCCCAATATTTTCTACTTTCAGCTATACAAAATATATCGTAAACTCAAAGTTAGTCATAAATTTAAGCCAAAATGTATTCTGCTACATGTTTTTGGTAAAAAAAATCCCAATAAGTGTATATTGATTGCTTTGTGTGAAAGTTATAGCGTCTACAAACTATGGTATAGATACTGTAATTTATGCCTTTTTTTGCTATACAGCGCTGCACTAATTCAAATGATAATTGCGCGGTCATGCAATGCTGTACCCAAACGAAATTTACGTCTTTTTTTTCACACACAAACAGAGCTTTCTTTTGGTGGTATTTTATCACCAGTGCGCTTTTGATTTTTTGCGCTATAAACAAAAATCACAAAAATTTTGAAAAAAAAAACTATATTTTCTACTTTCAGCTATAAAAAATATATATCCTAAACTCAAAGCTAGTCAAAAATTTAAGCCAAAATGTATTCTGCTACATGTTTTTGGTAAAAAAAAAATCCTGTGCATTAGCGGGTAAACTGGCGCTATCTGGGAGGGGCGCTAACACTATTGGAAGTCGCCAGCGACACTGATACTGTGATCAGTAAAAATCTGTTCACTGATCAATGACACTGGTGGTAGGGCAGTGAAGGGGATAACTCGGGGGGGGCGATCAAATGGGTTAGACGGGATTACTGGTGTATTAGCGGGAAATCTGGCGCTATCTGGGAGGGGCGCTAACACTATCAGAAGTCGCCAGCGACACTGATACAGTGATCAGTAAAACTCGATCCACTGATCAGTGACACTGGTGACAGGGCAGTGAAGGGGTTAACTGGGGGGGGGTATTAAGGGGTTTAAACGGGATTACTGGTGTACTGGCGGGCAAACTGGCGCTATCTGGGAGGGGCGCTAACACTATCGGAAGTCGCCAGCGACACTGATACATTGATCAGTAAAAATCGGTTCACTGATCAGTGACACTGGTGACAGGGCAGTGAAGGGGTTAACTGGGGGGGGGGGTGATCAGGGGGTTAAATGTGACCTAGGTGTGTTCTAACTGTAAATGTGTAGTGTTTTACTCACTTTTACTGTTTCTTCTTCTCTGTCTGGAACGAAATGTGTCCAGGCAGAGAAGAATGACATCATATCCTGTCCTGTGTAAACTTCAACACAGGACAGGATAGGAAAGGGACCGATCATCTGATTTCAGCCAGACATCACTGGCTGAAATCTAATGATTTATCCCTTCGGGACCGAATGGTGTCACCCCCTGCCTGTGAAAACGTCAGGAGCGCGGAACCTGTTTTAAAACATGGTTTTGCGCCTGAGTGCCGCCCTGCACAATATATAAATACAGTGGCAGGGCGGCAAGCGGTTAAAATAACTTTCTGGTTTCACAGAACCCTTGCTATAAATTACTATAATTACAATACAGCTCACTGTACATTAATGTGATGCTCAGTAGGAAGAATGCTTCTTACACCATTAGTATCAGTGGGAATGTATCTGAGAGGCAGAAAAATTGTTCCTTGTTCATGGAACCCCTAGCAACCTCCTTAGGAACCCTAGGGGTCTCCAGAACCCTGGATGACAAAGACTGCTATAGACAAATCAAATGATAAACTTTAAATGTTGCGTAACATGAGTCATTTGTCAATTTTTAATTTTTAGCCTTATTGTTGTATTTTAGTAAATGCTTGAACGTAACATCATTGTTTTTTAGTTAATATTATGGACTTCACCTGGGCATTCAGATGGGGGGGTGAGTGAGTAGTATCTGGTTTTTATTAAAGGGGGCTTCCAGATTCTGACAAGCATCCCACCTGTAGCACCCCACAACCACCGGGCCAGGGTTGTGGGGAAAAGGCCCTTGTCCTCATCAACATGGCGACCAGGTGCTTTGTCAGGGAATCCCCATGTGGTCATTGACTATATATAGCAATAGGCATTGCCTGGGAGACTTTGCTTATATCAACTGTTATTTGCTGGAGCTGTCAGTACTCTGTGAGTAGTCACTGGCTGTATTGGCTTTTTTGTTATTCTGACGAGATGTCGGTTATTGTGATTGACGTGGATCTACATTGCTGAGCAACGTGAATGACATTGGATGTGCATCCTGGAACTTTTATTTCAAATTAAAGGACTTGTCAAAAACTGTGTGAAAACTTATTTGCAATTTACTTTTTTTGTGACTGAGTAGGGATACTATGTTCCTTTTACCTATTTACATGTTCACATGGGTGGGGGAGTGTTATTTGGAGGCCCCCTTATTGTTACAAGTGGCTTCCAGATTCCAATACATCCCAGGCCTGTAGACTCCCACAACAACTGGACCAAGGCTATAGGGAAGAGGCACATGTCCTTATCAACATAAGGACAATTTGCTTCTCCCCCCCTTGTTGAAAGCCCATGGCCGGTGTATGGTTTAGGAGGGAAGTGGGGGTGGGGGCACACACTCTAGGCCTAGGATTCTAGAGTGTAAAAAAAAAGGGTTGAAGGGAACCCATGGCAGTTTTTTTTTACCAAAAAAGTCAGTTTTGTGGTAGATTGTATACATCATACATGAACGCCACTTCACAGGCAGTGCATCCCCTAGGCATGTTATTTGATGGAGTTTTGCATCTTTAATGTTTCACTTTAAGCATTAGTAAAATTGCTGGAAAATGGAATTTTAAAAAGGTTTTTTTGCTTTGGTACATGTGTATCAGGTCAGTCCCCAGCTTCCATGACAATTATTTGACAATGTCTTGCCTATTAGCCTAGAAAATTGCCATAACTTTTTTGTTCTCATCAACTTCATTGGGGTTCTGATTCATTACCAAAACTTTAGCAATTTTCACTGAACCCTGCTCGAACCGAATCCATGTATGTTTGGCTCATCACTCAAAGGGACAAGTGGCAGAGCAGAACATTGGCGGTGTACAAGGATTAAGGAAAGTTTAAAAATGAACTCAGGGTTGGAGAAAAACGTTACCAGTGCAGTAAGACCCCTTCATACTGTGAGGGTTAAATGCTCATTTTGTATAGCGGTATAGGAATTAGGTGAAATATTCACTTATTCTTTGCTTTTCAGCTTTCTCTTCTCTGTAAGACTAGTCCCCCAAAGATGCATTGCTGTCCAACCTGTCACAGCTCTCTGACATCATCACATGCTATTACTAACAGCTGTCATGCTGCTGTTCCTGGAATTGCATCTGTTTCCCTCTCCAGCCTGTAGTGGCACACTCCTCCAGGGTCTGTGGAAATCCAAGGTAATCCAACCTTGGAAAAAAAAAGAAGCTGGGTGGTGTTCTTATATTTATGCTGGTACTCTAAATTTTTTTTTTTACTACAAGGAACTGGTGTGCAGCTCCAGATCATCACATACAATGCAGAACCAATGGTTCGGCACCGTACATGAGGACACAGAGGGCCTACCCACAACCCAGGTGTGTTGGAGAGTGGAGGAGAAGCTGGGTGGCTGTTCTTATATTTATGCTGGTACTCTAAATTTTTTTTTTTACTACAAGGAACTGGTGTGCAGCTCCAGATCATCACATACAATGCAGAACCAATGGTTCGGCACCATTCATGAGGACACAGAGGGCCTACCCACAACCCAGGTGTGTTGGAGAGTGGAGGAGAGCTTCAACTGTCAGGGGAATGGGGAACACATTGTTGTGCTTAATTCTCAATAGAAAATTAGCATTAACCCTTGCAGTGAGAAGGATAACATTTTCTCCAGCCTGGACTTCAGCTTTGAAGTTCCTACTGTATAATTAACCTGCTATGTTCTCTAGTATGAGCTAAGTGTAGATTCACTTCAAGAAACTGCTATCATACTAGAATTTTATGTCATTTTTGTCCAATATCTAATTGTGGTTTGTACTTGCCTGGCCCCATATGGAAAGACATTATTTCAAATGAATCCCTCATGTCATGCAAAATCTTCATCCATTTTTCATCAGTGTACTCAAAACGTCTTCTTCCGACCAACAGATCAGCAATGATATTTGAAGATGCACAACTGAGTACAGTGCTGGGGTTAACAGGTTGCTCTAAAGAGATGAAATAGGAATGATGTTAAAAGAAACCAATTCCATAAGTTACCAGCCAGTCCCAACCAATGCCTTGGTAGAGTAATTTTATGTAGTGCTTCAACAAGATCACCAACAACCCTGTGGTTGTAATGTGTTGAGTGCTATAAACTGAAGTGATTCCAAGCCAGATATATTAAAGTGCAAAGTGAGCTAAGGTGAACATATGTGTGCTTCAAACATTCAAAAATGTTATAGAAATTTTGAAAAAATAAACAGCTTCTCAATCACATGCTGGGAAGTTCAAAGTGAACACAGGTTCTCTTCAGGCCACGGCAAACTGTACCTTGGAGAAGCCATAAAGCCAACTAGATGCCCTTTGGGGTGCCACAAAATGCAAGTTATAGAAACCTGTCACTAAATGAATGGGCACACACCATTCAAATTTTGGTAAATATGTTTTGGTTCTATGCAAATATTTTTTTTTAAATGCCTTTTCTATATATGTTTACATTTGTAGTTATAGTGCAGTTGTACAATACTCACTGTTAGTACTTTTGAAATATTCCACTAAGTATTGCGCCTCTGCCTGAATAGGCTCTTCCAATG